ATAATATTGGACAACCATAAATTCTTTTTTCATATCTTTTTTTTAAAATTTAATTAATTGATTCTTTTTCAAAACAACAGTCGATAAATAAATATTAAATTCTGATTAATCATCATTTTTTAATAATGTTATTGGTTTTTTATCATATTTTGGTTCTAATGATTTTTTAATTGAAGAAACTAAATAAATTGGTTTTTTTATGGTTTTGATAATATTTTTGAAAATTTTAGAACAGAATATTTCCAATTCTTAACCAATTGGATTGAGATTATTATCGCAATATGGTTATTCCATAATGCACAAACACAATAATTTTAAAATATTAATCTTTTTCTCCTTTTTGCCCGAATACATTTCCATCAAATATTCTGAAATACAAAAGAATTTGGGAAATATGTATCTTGTCATTAAGAATGATTAATCTTTGTTGAGATTGTTAATTAGATTGTAAAAATTTTCATCAAGTATTTCCATGTCTTTCTAAACTATGTGAGTAGAAAATAATGAGATTAATTTTAATGGATCATCTCTATTCCATTCTTTTTCTCTACTTTGTTATTGCAACAATATGAAAAAATTATTATCAAATAATAATTGTTTGTTTGTATTGGTTATTAATTTATTGAGAATTAAATCATCTTTTTCTTCGAGGTTTTCAGTGATGCGCGCGACTACCTAGGTTATTTTTTAATCAGTTTTTTAATCAGTTTATTTTGTAACCGGTTTATGAAATTATGGTACAAATCTATTAAATTTTTACAATCTCATTTCTACAAATTTTTACACAATCTTTATCAAATTTATATTTTGTAAAATAATATTATGATTACAAAAAATAATAAAACAAACCAAAATTCTTATTTAACACTCTGTGATTCATTTTATTTTTATTCATAACAAAGAAAATCTAAAATTATTTAATAATATCCTTTTTCTTATTTTATTTTTTTAATTAAATTAAAATCTAGATCAATGTTTTAAATTATGTTGTTAGTTTTGGTATTGGGATAAAACATCGCTAATTCGGACAATGTCTAAAAAGAATCAAAACCTAATAGACTTATTAAACTGTTGAGATAATTATGATAATTAATCAAATCCATTTTTACTTTTTTCAAATATACTATGGAAGAATAAAAGTTATCATCATCTTTTATCGATAAATTTATTGATTCTACTTAGGATTTGGACATTAAAAACAATCTGTCCTATTACTTTATGACTATGGGAATTACTGATGTGAATATTTTCATTCATTAATTTTTTGCAAAATGTGTTGAGATAGGAATTTAAGATAGCACACTCTGCGATAAATTTTAAAAATATCTCACATTGAAATTCAGTCTCAATCCCAAAAATTAATAGATAAAAATGGATACAATTAGTACAATCTTCAATAATTATCACAAAGATTATCCAGAAACATTAATGTTGATATTAAATTAAATGAAACATAATCAAGGAAATACTATCTTATGGAAAAAGTAATTTAATTTTGATCCCCAATCATTAGGTTTTGAATAACATCACATCAGCAATTATCCAAAAACTATTATTTTTTTTTCTAATTTCAATTAAGAATATTATGTTAAATAAATTTATGATAATGTTTGTCTCTAATTCAATTAATAAAATTTTAATATTCTCCAGAATGGAATAAACC